TCTACTTCATTGCAGCTACACCACTCTTTGTCTCATGTTAGTACATAAATACAGTTAAAAGTCAGTAGTCAGGACACAGCTGGCTCAATCATAAAGATGTCAGACTCATAGAAGGAAAGTTTCACTTCGGTCACATAATATTAAGGGGTACTCAGCTCATGTTAGCCCCCCCCCCTCTAAAATTTTGGCTGGATCTGCCCTTGGTGTGATGCCGAGTCCGGGAATCTAACCCAAGACCACAGGGGCAAGAGGCAAGTCTACTTCATTGCAGCTACACCACTCTTTGTCTCATGTTAGTACATAAATACAGTTAAAAGTCAGTAGTCAGGACACAGCTGGCTCAATCATAAANTCTACTTCATTGCAGCTACACCACTCTTTGTCTCATGTTAGTACATAAATACAGTTAAAAGTCAGTAGTCAGGACACAGCTGGCTCAATCATAAAAATGTCAGACTCATAGAAGGAAAGTTTCACTTCGGTCACATAATATTAAGGGGTACTCAGCTCATGTAAGGTTATAGGGCAGGGTGTAGGGTGACCCTAGTGGTACAGACAAATCTTTTGTATTCTTTTCCCCAAGATTCGCCAAAGAGTTAACCCTAACAGTAGGTTCATCCTACCATTATATATGAGTCATTCATTCATCTTCAGAATATGGTATAGCGTATGTCTTTTCTTGTGAAGATGTTTAATAGTTGAAGATTCATAGAAGAACGAATCATCAAGCTTGATCTAGTGCTGAAGGCTGGCTTGTACAGCTTATAATACCAGGAATCAAATACTACTTACTCGTATTTATTATATCCTTGTGTGAGATTAAATCATCTAGGCATTTGGGTCTATACTTTTCTACCCTAAATACAAAAGAAAGAGTTTAACCCTGATTATTAACAGGACACTTCATAAATAARTTTAAAAAATATTGTTAGTGAAATATCGATCGTTCTTACCATGGAAGATTCGCCTTCCTTTCAGCTACCACCATAATGTCTTTACGAAGGTTGGATAATCTGGAATGAGATGTTAGTGAACCGAATGTAGTCCAGAATTAGTTATAAGGATACAAAATATCGACCAGAAAAGGGAGAGAACATTCAACAAGCTTCAGAGTACGATCAGCTTCACGTTCCCGCCAAATATGTACCCGCTGGCCACGTATGACGGGCTCATTTTCATTTACCACAGGCAGCCCACTAGGAAGGGGGCGCGTTGAAACTGATAAAAGGACCTGGTTAAAAAAATCCATCAGTTTCTGCAACTTACCTACTGGGATATGTAAACGGCCTCATCTTCAGATTGTAGGAGTAYTTTTTGCGAAGACTTTCAAGCTTCGAAGTTTACTAGCACCGAATCATCATGTTTCGACTCCCAGCCTCATCAATCTAAATATCGATATCGGAAAATCAATCAATAAAAAGACACGTCGATATAGTCACTCTCTTGATTCATGACTCAATAAAGGTCAATGTTTTATTTTTGTGGATATGCATTCTACTGTTGGTAAATGTTGGTATTTTTCCAGCAAAAAAATTAATTTTAAAAATAGGTTCTTAACAAATGAAAATCTGTGAAAACGATGATGGAAATAATTATGATTTATTAGTAAAGATCAGCCCTAATTCGCAACAATGAACATGAATTCATGTTTCTAATCTTTTTATTTGCGACTGTCCTCACCCAACCAAACAGAATRCTGTAAAATCAGTTCCAGCCTGAGTGAGGAACGCAGGCTCTAGAAAAGAGGCATGTATATGATTTGGCGCATGCGCATACATACGTACATATTTTATTAGAGAACTGTCTGAGTTATAAAAGAGAAGAAGCAATGTGTATACGTAAGATAAACACCAGATCGATGGTTATAAATGGTCGTCACAAGTTTCGAGCAGCAGTGACACAAATGAAACGCTTAAAAATTTGGAGCAATAAACTCAGTTAAATAAAAAAATCGCGAAATTAGCGGCCCTGTCGTTTTTCTGCTCTGTCAAACCAGATAAGACTAGTAAGTTTCTGGGCCCGGTTGTACGAAGGTTGGATAGCGCTATCTGACGGATAAATCTTATCCACTGGATAAATTTATTGGATAACAGCATCGACTTATCCATTTATCAGCCGGATAGCGCTATCCAGCAGGCTAAGTACAACCGGGCMCTGATGTTTGTAGCACTTTTTTCTGGAAAATAGTTGAATAACCGAACGATCGGAAATAAACAAATTTAAATGTAGAAGAAATAACAATATTATTTGATAAAAGCTTATTGCATTTTGCCCGCACGCTGTTTTATTATATTTATCCGACACTTATTAGTTAGTGAGAGAAACTGGACCAGTTTTGGACTGAATTGAAACTTAATTGTCAAGCTATACACAGATAGTATATATGATGTATATGTATTATAGAGTGGTTTTCGTATAAGAGTAGGAAACGATACTATACATATCTGAATTCGTATTGCAACAAAAGCCATGTACTTTAAAGTAGTCGTAACTACGTGCTAAGCACCGTGAACGTTCTGTATGTAATTATGAGTCAGGGGGTACCGCATGTTTCTTATTCATGCGACAACCGCTATAAGATACGCAAATGATGTTATTRTTGCCCCGGGCAGACACTAGAGAAAAACGCATGCGTGCCTTTCAGCATGTTTTCTCGGAGCTCAGAAGAGTTTGGGTGAGAAAGTAAATGTTCGTTTTATCCGAGTATAAAATCAATTTTACGAGTATACTGTTCTGAGACCAAGATACTGTATTTATGAAGACAATATGTAAGAAATGCCCTTAAGTTTCAAGCATGGACACATGTTTGAAAGTCAAATTTAYATATTTCTTCAATAGCATGAAGACGTTTCGACGAATTTGTATACGTGCATAGAGCATGCGCAGACGTACTCTTAAAATGTCAACCAACCACGATATAGAGTGAAAACAGGAACCAATCATAAGAGAGCACAATCATTAGTATATTGATTTTGTCATGATCAACCATAGTGTTTCATTCCCACAAGTTTTGAAAAGAGATTACATGGTATGGTTTAACGACTACAAGTTTTTTGATAAAATAATATAATATTATTATTGGCGAAGTAACAAGAAAACTCTTTGGTCTCTGCTTTCATGATTCAGTATTTGGAATACAATAATGGTTTTGCGATTTGTTAGTTAGTTATGATTTATGCATAGTATTTACCAATAGCAGAGACCAAGTTAGTATAGTCTTTTGCATAGTCATTTAAGTATCAATTCGCCAAAGCGATTTTTGTGCAAGGCAACCGTCCACACTAATCAGTGCGTTTACGTTTGAAGACGCGCATACTTTTGGATGTGTTTACACTAAAACGATCAATCACGGATACATTTGAAAACACTTTCCAGCGTGGCATGGTGAGGTTTGAAAACAGAGTCCTATCGCATTTCTCTTTGGGGTTCTGTTCATTGGAGATTTCATTCAAAACATTGTCAGTAAAGTCAACTCGTCCACAGGGAGACAGATTTTGAAGGCGCGAAACTCATGCCAAATTATTTACATATCCGGTAGACGTCGCCGTCGCAGATTTTGCAAATCTTAAGGAGGCTATTCACACATGCACGTTTGTTTTTGCATGCGCCGATATCGCATCCTTTTTGATCGTATCTGCGTTTTTYATCGTTTTCGATCGTGGTCTCGCTAGAACGCTATGGATACGCCAGCGTGGACGCGAAGCTGCGAAGCTTTCGAAGCGCTTTTGGTAAAACTTATATGATATAACGTATTAGTGTGGATATGACCCCCTGAGTGGAAAACGATAAGACAAATAATAAACTGTATCGTAGCTGTAGTTACGCGTTGACATTGGATGGAATTCTGGTGCTACGCTGATAGAAGACAATTAATTAAATTTCAATATTAAGGCGAGTCAGTGCTGAACGGTATGTTTTCCACTCCTAGGCCTATGAAAACTGCTCTATGAGATTGTTATATATAAAATTAATGCCGAAATTCAGTCGATTGCTAATTGTACGAGTAAATCATAAATCGATACGCTGATGTGTAGCTGCTTTCTTAAAGAGTAGATTTCGTATACTTGTGAAAAGATTACTTTACATTTAGTGTCAATGTAGAGTCACTACAAGATTTTGACGACATCCGTTGAACCAATCACAGTACTGTAGATACGTGAGGTTTACTTTTATCAAATGAGATTTCCTTTATGTGGTCGTGTCCAGTCCTGGCTTTGCCTTTAGCTTTGCTCTTAAATGTTTGTACAGCAATTCAACCTCATAAGATTACAGCCTAGCTGAGGGGTTCCTCAGGAAACGTTTTTGGGCCCTTTTGTTGTTCTTGCTATCTTGCTGTTCTCTACCAAAAAAAACCTGCAGTACAATCCTTATCAGGTAGAATAAGTGACCCAGGAAACGCAGATCTTTGAGCTTCGAGTGGTATTTATTTAGTATAGGCTCCACCATGTAGTGTGAAAGGGTATTCCTTTTAGTAAATTTAGCGTAAAACGTCGTCGACTCAAACTCCAACAAAGAATTAAGTAAATCCACGGGGAATATTTATAGCTGTTTGTATTGTAGGAGGATAGATTATTGATAAAGTATTTTAATTTTTTCGAATTTGTGTTCCATATAAGCATTACTCATTAGTAAGAGTCAAGATGGGCTGCTAAGGAGCGCAGCCACTTTGACGCTCTTAAAAGCAACATGCAACTGAATGATTATTAAAGCAGATGAAATCGAGATGCCTTGAGAAATATTCCAAACAAAGTCACAGTGCCAATGACGACTGATATTATCAGAAACATTCTGTCCAGCACTCTTGCTGCTTTTTTAATGTCCTTAGAAATAGTCTCCAACAGGGGCTAGCTGGAAAGGAGGGCTACCACTTTGACGCTCTTAAAGCAACATGCAAATGAATGATTATTAAAGCAAATGAAATCGAGGTGCTTTAAGAAAAATGCCAAACAAAGTCACAGTTCCAATGACGACTGATATTATCAGAAACATTCTGTCCAGCACTCTTGCTGCTTTTTTCCATTCCTTTTGATTTCTTTCCCTTTCCAGGGATAACTCAGATTTACTATCATCGTTAGACAGGTCCCCAAATCCTACTGCGGACATAAAATAACTTTTATTTCCGGAAGCATTGTCTTGGTTATTATATAACTTTTTCTTCGACCCGTTTTGTTTTAATTTGTGACGCCTAAATCGCATTTTGTCGAGTCCTCGTCGATTTGCGACGTAGTTGTTTCTTCTGGACGGTGAAGTATTACCTGTGAACATATTATCGATTGACGCCGTGGACGCAGGACTTATCTGGTACCCTTCAGGAAACTCGCGCAAAGAATTCCATCTATTTTGCCTAGAATGTGTCGGGTCATTGTTATCGATCATGCTTTCTACGATAAAATTCGAATCACTGAGTTCACCCGAGTCACCCTGGTTGGCACTTAATGGAATAGAGGATTTATAGGGTTTATTCTTCCTAAACGGAAATGCTAAGGAAGCCATCCACACTAGTATCAATTTGCGTAAGAATGCTGGCATCCTGCGAGTACTCCGGTGATAAAAGTTTAGAATAAAAGTTGTGACTGTAAGGGATGCTCCTATTTCTATCATCGTAGCGAAATAATATTGCCCCAACAAAGGGAACCCATACGATGGCATTAGTTCCGAGGTGAGTTGTTGGAATACAGTCATAGCAAGGAGGACGGTGATGCTTAATCCAATCCGCTCTCCGGATTCGGGCGGTAGTACAAAGCCAAGGAATATCATAGACGATATTAGTGAACATGGGATGATCAACTTCATAATGTAATCCAAAGACACCCGCGAGATTTCAATTTTGATAGTCACATCAACGAAGTCGTATACGCAGCATTTGTAATGTTTCTGGTTGCGTATGAAAGTGATGCTGTTCAGCTCCCATTCGCCATTCTTGATGTAATTCTTATTCAACGCATGTCTGTCTTTAGGGTGCAGATCGATTTTCGAGATATCAAAGGACCAGGAGCCAAACTTCAGCTCACATGTTTGGTCATCAAAGGGAAAGAATGTAACGTCAACCATACAAATGCTTTTGAAGATAGCGGGATTCAGCCATACACAGCCTCCGTCATGACTGAGAGCGACGTTTGCCTTGTAAGTATACTTCCCTCCACCAAATCTGTCTTCCTCGTCTATGCTGTAACAAAATCAAAACTAATTCTTATGACATTGATATTAATTCAGAAGAAATGCAAAGGACCCAAAGACATCTAATATCGACACAAAATGTTTTGATTATATGTGTATCGTTGGTGGACGGATCAGTGAATGAGAGGTTTTTGGCAAGTTCACATCACGTGACAGCAGCCATATTGGATGACCGCACAATGGGGAAATGTCCCGCTTCCAAACTTTTATCAGGATTCTTTTTAAAACCACAAAAATAAAACAATATTTCTTTTTCTTTTAAAGTTTGTTTTTACGCAACTGCTCGTTTTAAGGGAGGTAGGGTCACGTGACCTGTTAGTGCAAGTCGTTTATTGCCCCATCCATCTGTCAGTAAGTTGCGCCATACAGATCACTCAGTAAAATAGGAAAATAGTGAAGAAATCTTGTCATATTTTTGAATCGTAAATCCTGATGATTAAAATATAAACATTTGTACAAGGCATGTATATAAATGAATATTCCTTGCCAAAGTTTCCTGCGCCATCTTGAAAGGTAGCCGTGCCTTTGCATCGAAGCGACACAAACGGTTAACTTGCAATTAGAGGGACATCTGAATAATTGTACTAGGTGTTAAAAAGATCTCTATTATTGTGAGGTTACCGTTCGTCTCGACTAACAAAGGCACGGCTGTACCTTTCGAGATAGAGCAGGGAAATGTGAAGAGTTCTATTGGTCTTACTTGCTGTACAGCAGCACATCGGGAACCCATATGTCTTTAGGATCGACGTAAATAATTTTGATTCCACCATATTGGGCAGGATCCCATGTAAGAAGCTCATTCCTCCAATACTGCAATCGTAAAACAAGTTTTACTGGTTTTCGATTTCAACAAAAAATAATAATTTACACCACTCAAAGATTGGGGAAAGTGGTTTGGTAGATAGGAATAATTTACAAGTGGAGCTAGAATTAAAAAAGTTGGAATATTTAGCTATTATTCGCCGAAGGCGAGGTGAATATCGGGGAATATTTACCGAGACGCGAGTCTTCGAGCGGCGTGGTAAATATTCTCTATATTCACTGAGCCTGAGCATGCACATTCGCACGGCTCGCTTTAAAATCAAAATGCTTCATTTAAAACGTAAATACTTAGCAATTATTCGCCTTGGCGAAGTAGATATTCTCCATATTCACTGAGCCAGAGGCGAATAGTTGTTTTAGCATAAACCAATTTGTGTACAGAGTAACATATTTTTATATACAATAATTCAATAAAAACAAACAAACAGAAACTTGCAGTTCGCGTGACAAATTCACGCAAAACGTTTAGCAAAACTTTTAGGCCATACTTCGTTGCCTTTTTAGTATTGATAGTAATGGCATTTACTTTCATTTTTTCAATGTCCTCATCGGAAATTGTAGCAAAACGATTGCCGGCATATGCCATTTTGTTGCCGACTCAATATTCAGAGATTCAGAGGTGAATATTGTACAATATTCACCTCCAATTAACCAATGAGCGCGCGCATTCTTAGGAAGTACACAAGTTGGTATATGCTAACTATATATATTATATCAGGAAACAGGAAAAAAATTGGAACAAAAACTTAAGATCACCCATCCAGGTGCAAACAAAGGTGCCAAACTTCCCATAAGAGCTTGACATATATAAACCCCATGTTTTTTTCCCACTATACCACAAGGGCTTTAAGGAATTAGCACAACAATAGCAGTGAAAACAATGCGTCAGATGGACTAGACTTTTCAACATCGATTTTTCAATGATTTCGTGCGTGGCAGAGTGCAAGGGATTAGGTTTAGACATAGTCTAGGGGCCGACTTGTCTTTCCCTTCTCCCTTTCCCCTGATCGGGCCTTCAGGCTAGAACATCAGTTTCTTGTGTAATTCGTACACCCAAGGGCAGAAGGCTTAAATCCCATCGTATAATTAGATGTTTTTTACCTTTCTACTGGGATGTGATACCGATCTCATTAATTGGATTGCCACAGTGATATGGCTTTTCTAATTCACATTATCTGTTGTAACTATAGGAAGCCATTAGCTGTTGTTTTGTACTCCCCAAAATGTCTCGTGCGGAGGAAAATAATGTTGATCGCTATCGTTATGTTAATATAATAACAATCTCGCAAAATTGATAAAATAGAGGATATTACATGGGCGCGCGGAGATACGAAATCTTATCTTCGAGTGTTGAAAAGATCTCTCACAGGGTGAGCGCAACTAACGAGCGAGAGATTATCAACACGAGAAGATAAATTTCGTATCATCAAGCGCCCATGAAATATTCTGTTTATTATATAATTATCCATAAAATCAACTTAACAAGCTTTTTATTATTATAAAAAGTTTTTATTCATAAACCAATAGCTTAAATACACATGGTAACGATATTTTCACATGTGAAAATAACATGTTATTTTCACATGTGAAAATATCAGTTTTTCGAAAAGAAGATGAAATATAGGTATTTTATGGATAATTATATGATAAATGGCTATATTAAATGGCTTGGGGTGTTGTGAAGTCAGTGTGTATCCAACAATATATATCGCATTGATCGATCGGAAAAAAATCAAATGCTATAATAATGGGTTGTTCGATCGTATAACCTCTCTTTTGCACTCCTTTCCTCTCCCTTTTTTTCCTCTTCTCTCTTCTCCTCTCCTCTCAATTTATCTGTTTTTTCTACCTGCACATCTTACCTGATTTACCCAGGCGTATGTCTTGATATATTGATCCCTTGCACTCTGGTAATGTCAAAAACAACCATTAATTTATTCATAGCATAAAGGTGACACTTAAATAGCCTTAAAATGCTACTCTGACGAAAATCGCTCAAACTTGGATTCAGTTGAAACTTCCTAAGAATACTCTTATAAGGTCCAATAATCACTGTATGAAGTGTTTTCTCGATATTCAGGACGAAAGTATATTTTTACGATTATTTTTTGGAGTCTGTGACGTCATACACTCAACATCGAACATCGCTCCATACACTTTTGCTTTACTATACAGTCAATTCAAAAAACGTTGTCGTCGACTGGCTCAAGCCTACGCGACTGGACCGAAAGGAA